CCAAGATGTAGGTTAATTCAAGATGAGGTAAAGGATGGGGAGGGCAGGCAAAGAGGTTTTTGTGCTACTGAGTTAACAGCAGACATACGACCTGCTTGAAATCAGTGTGATGATTCCCTGTGTACAGCCGCAAGCACCTATGTAAATCTTCACAGAATTCAGGTTTGTGGGATTAGTGTGTCTGAGCACAAAGAAATTATTACCTATGACATTACTTTTTAATCAGGCAACACAAAGATGCTCAGCAGGTCACATTTTCCAAGTTTACATCACCTGCACTATCCACTTCATTCATTAACTATCGAGCAATCACATAAAAAGTTTAACTTTTCAAACTGAAAAATGTGTGTAGCAGTTGATGAAATACAGATGTTTTACCTTTTGCTACAATTACTAATACAAGCAAACCCAGTAATTTCCCTAGTCTCAAGAACATAGCTTTAATTTAATAATAATGTTAATTGATAAAAAGTTTTTCAGATACAAAAACCCAAACAAAATACAGCTTCTTTTCAAAGTAGCTTGGATAACAGCTAGATTATTCTTCAGCAAGACAGGAAACTGGTGATTGAATTTGGAATCCTTTGGGAAATTTAATGTTTTGTAAATTGAAAAGATAATGTATCTTGAAAATTTGTATCTGAGGAAGATACTCTGCGTGTTAGCAACAGTGGAAGTGTTTAACGAATCCTCTCAATTAGATCTCAGTGAAATCCAGTAATTGGGTTTTTTTAAGTATGAAGTCACATGCTGACATTCACACGTGTGCCCTGCTACACAGCGACACTCCTAAAAGCATTTAATTTCTCTAACACACTTTGGAAAACCTGAATATAGTACCCTCTAAAAATATAAAACTACGCAATGAAAGTACCCCCACAATCCTCGTGATGCAAATGTGGTACACACAGAGTAACATTTTCCAGTTTTACGGGCTAACATAAAAGAGGTAATATAATTTGTTTTATTCACATATGTACAGAAGATCAATGCAATAATTCAGTAGAGATCACATTAGTACTAGTAGTAGTAATACAGTTACACACAGACTCTATATTTCATTAGTGCTGGATACTTTTATCGGTTAAGCCTTAATTTCATTAAGTAAATCACATTTCTAAATTAGGTATCTTTTTGTTTTTCAAAATATGAAAACTAAAAATAATTCTGAACAAATCAGTAGAAATTTTGAAAGGAATAGGACAGTCTCTTCATATCGTACGAACAGAGGGCAAGAAGAGCAGGAAAGCGCTTTATCTTCACCCCAGCTATGGACACACCAACCATTTGGTAAGCACCAACTATTTTATAAGCATAAACAATATGAAGACAATTCAATTCACCACTGTTCACCTCCCCTCCAGGAAAGTACACCCAAAGAAAATAATTACAGTGAAAAAAACAAAAAATTTTGAAGACATATATTAACATTCACTAATCTGACTGGTCCCTACACCTGGCAGGTGTGGGTGAGGAATTGTGAAGGATTGGAGGAAATGGGATATTGCAACTCCAAAGATGTTTGTTGGTAAAAGAATACAAAAAGTCTAAAAATAATAGAATTCAGAAAGTTTTAGAATTCACAGTCATGCTGGTTTGAAACAAACAGATATCCCATATTATTACTGGAAGGGCTTCAACTGCATTGCTGGGTCTGCCTTGAGGAAGACAGACAATCGAAGAGGAGAGGAACAAAAAAAAAAAAAAACCCCAAACCAAAAAACAGAGGTCTAGAAAAACATGACTTGCAGCAAAAGACTGAAAGAATTGGGTTATTAAATCTAGAGGCAAAGAACTGCAGGTCATGGCAACCCAAATAACTGGAAGTCGTTGTAAGGAGGAAATAAATAATCTGCTCTCTACACAAAGAATAAATATATATGAAATGACAAATTCAACTGCTGCAAAAAAACCTGGATATGAAGCTGAACAGCGGGAAAAGACTGGTAATGATACACTTGTGTATTTGTCCAAGTTTTTAACAGAAGGTTGGACAAACATCAGTTGAGAATGGGTTTGGTGTGGTGAAGCCCTCTTTGGGAAAAGAGATGAGCTGAGGTGACCAAAGCTCCTGCGCCCTGGTTCCTCTGGGTCTGTCATTACCAAGTCAATGCCTCAACCTAGGAAGTGGCCAAACACCCAGAGTTGCCACTTGAGCTTCAAAGCAGAGTGGGATCTGAAAGCGATGCACCCCATTTGCATGCAAACAAATTCTCTCCTCTGTTTTCTCCAGCCATCCATGCCCTTACCCCCCACTTCTCACCTCCCCTCCACCTGCCCTGTTTCCCCGGTACACCACCCTCTCCCAGTACCCTCTACGCACCGTACCACCCTATTCAGGAACAAGCATCATGTCACATCCCCAGGCAGTACCTTGCTATGAGATCGGAGCCTCTACATATGCAAAACCACCTTGGGGACACGGATCACACATGGGCGCCAAGGGGTGCTAACGGGAGGGTGACATCCTCTCCCTCCCACCTCCTCCACCTCCCCAAAGCCAGCCACATGCCAAGGAGAGAAAACAAAGTCCCTTACACTATTCAAAGTGACTTGATGTCTCCACAGTAAATTCTGATAATTAACGTGAACTCAGAGTGGCTCAGGGCTGTTCTAAAGGATCCGATTATTGCAAGATCCTCTGCTCTGTTCTGAATTATTGCTTCGCTTGGTCAGAAATTGTCCACAGAAACATTTCTGCAGCAGAAAAGCCCTGTGCACCGAAGTGAAGTACAGCCATGCCTCAACATTTTCAAAAAACAATTAATTTAAGTAAGAAAAAAACCCCACATTTGATCAAAGAGCATGGTGAAATATTTTTTGAATTTCAGGTTTTAATTTCAGAAGGAAAAGGGGGCTTAACCTAAATGTAATCAAGCTGTTTTGTAAAGAATAAAAATAGTTTCCAGCAGATGTGTCCCATGTAGGAATTTCATATCTTTGAGATTTAAATTCATCAAATTTGGTTTAAATCGATTGATGTGCTTGAGAGTCATTAGGGAGAAACTAAACAGACAGTGAGAGACTGCATAGGTATTTCTTTAAGAAGTCAGCTTAGAAGTTAAAAACTAAAGAAAGTAGATGATGAATATTTCAGTAACGTATTTCTTCTGTTAAACCATTGTTTCCAAAGAATATAAACCAAAACACTTATTTATCACGTATGCCCACCTGGCTTGTCAGCTTGAGTTAAGTACTATTGTAAAACATGAATACATGCAGCCACAGATCAAGAGCTCAGTGCTTCCTAAAGTAACAAAACCAGATAAAGGAAACGAAATAAAATGTAACTGGTGGAGTCATGGGTGCCCAGTGGGACAGTATCTAGGGTGGCTTGATCATACCAGCCTGTTGACTGATGTGTATCAGAGGCAACAGGTACTATAAAAGGAAGCAAGAAATGCTCCTGGTTTAGATTATTTTTGTTGAAATTTCTCTGGCATCAGGATTTGGTACAGTGCCACTGGAGGCGTATTGCTGTGAAGTCAGTTTAAGACAGGAATTAGACATAACTAAATAGAGGAAAAAATAGGAAAGGAGTATTAACTTTGAGAGTACCTAAAATTCCAACGAATAAAGCTCACTGAAAGCATGAATAAACTATATTTTGAGGTAAAAAATCATAAGCTTCAAATACAAAAAGGCACCAGACAAGTTCAATATCCAGCACCCTGTGAATGGGTGGGAGTTACAGTTGCAGTAACGGGGCTCAAAACCCAACAAATCGGCTGGTGCTTTCCATTTCTGACAAAATCAAAACTAAGCAGAAACAGCTCTTGCCTTTTCCAAATCTGACTGAACAGAGATGCCTATAGAAAGCTCTTTCTGGGAAAAATTAACCCCACCAGATTACCATCTCTTTGAAGCAGAAACTGTCTTTCACTATACCCATCTAGACCTATGTATAGCGCCATTAGATTCCAATTCACAATAAAGGCTTCCAGGCATGCCGTATCACAGAAAACCCCACATAATGGCAAACAGTAAACATACGAGCCCTTGCATGTCCCTAAAAATACAAGTATAGGACTGCAAACTAAGAGACTTATTAGGTAGCTAGTGTTTGATTTTAAACAGTAGCTAACATAGCCTAGTATTAATTTGGAAAACTGCAAAATTTTAATGTGTTAGTAATTTTTAATATGTTAGAACTTTCAAGTTCCTTTCACAGCCTTTTTGGAGTTTCCAAGTTTACAAGCTCTGCAAAAATAGTGTAGAGTTTGGATTTTCTTTAAATTGACAGATTGCAAAATACGTATATTCACAGAGATTTTGTCCCTCAACCAAAGCCATATTTATTTACAGATACTCATGAAATTCTGCTAGCCACACCCCAGAAAAGCTCCCGTCTCTTGAATCGGACTGTTGGAAGGATAACGGGGACAGTTTGCTCCCATCCTCTGCCAGAAGATTCTGCAACTGTGTGAACTGAACTTCTGTATCTTGTGCAATCTTTGAATAGCCTTCACAGTCAACATCTAATCATTTGCAAGTAAAATTCAGATATTCATCCTCATATTAATCAGTTGTGCTTCTTCAAAATAGCTCACAGGATGCAATTTCAGTCAAATCACCTCTTTTTTTCCAAATTCAGGTAACTTCAGTTGCGTATGAAACACACAACTTTACCAAAGTGGATTTGGAAGATGTCAGATATTATGTACATGATATGCAATTGTACACCAGTTATAACCGCAATATATGCCAGATACAACGACACTTCCTGCTTTCCAGGTGTCCGTTTTGTCCGTTGCAGACAGCAGGTATGTTTTTACTAGTATTTAAACAGGGTCAGAGAAGATCTCAAGTGTATGGCAGAAAACCTAAAAAAACCCCTCTTCTTACGGCAGACAGAATATCCTGCTTCTTACCCCTTCTCTTCAGTGTTCTCTTTTTGGCTGAACAGGGAGAACAGGACGACTGTTTGGCTGTGATGCTCCCCTCTCTTCCCCTATGTAAGCTCTCACCAGCTGCCTCAAAAGCCTCTTGCTCCTGACAACTGGCTCACTCAGGTTTTCTGTCAAGCTGCATGTCTGCCTTCTTCTCTGCTTTGGGGATCAGGAATTAATTTTTTGCGTGGAGTATAACTGGCAGAAGATCACTTTCCACCTTTCCTGTTACATCACACAGGCACAGAGGGGTTGAACAGTCCTACAGTTTCACTGTTTTCCATAGAAAATTATCAGTTAAAAGAGAGAATCTTCATGAGCAAAAAGATTTGGGATCTCCTGGGAAATGGTGCAAGACGGAAGAGATGGAATTCTTTGGGAAGCGGCAAAGGACTTTGGGTGGGAAGGTGTTAAAGCCGGTGTTGCTTGCACTGGAACTAATTAAAATGCCAAGTATGTGAGGGCGACGATTAGGCACATAGCTCCCACCAAAGTGTTAAACTACAAAGGTTTTAAGCTTGCTTCTGTCCTGCTTAGGCCATCACACTTCTCATTACAATGACCTTACTCTAAGGTAAAAGACACTGTCTGTGTAACTCTGTTGACAGCTAAGGCACCGCTGGGAGAACCTCTGCACATCAGATTCCAGTGGCGTGGGGGCACTGGAGCAATGTAAGGCCTTCTTTGGTTTAAACAACTCTAATGCAGGTATTTAATGAAATTGTCATGTTGAGAGAAAAATACTTACTCAGATCGAATATATAAAAAATATAAAATATAAAAATATAAGTATATACTCAAATAAAAATATAGTTTATAAAATATAGGAAAGATAAAAAACTATTTTCCTTCTCTCATTCCCAGAGCTCCTCCTCCCCAACTCAATAAGTGACAAGAAAAAATGTATTTGTAGTGTTCAGGATCCTGTAACTTGAAAACTTAGTTCTACTTGTGCTGCAGAACAAGCCCTGTTTGCCCTCAATTCTTTAAACTAGAGTTGATCACAGCTACAGAAAAAGGAACACTGGACTCTGACATTAATGTTACCTAAAATTTTGTCATGCAAGGTGTTCACTCAAGCCATTTTTAGACAAATTCTTTATAAAACAGGTTTTGCTTACCTCTTGGATTATCACCAATGATATTGGTTTTGCCATTCCAGTACCAGAGCAGCAACGTCGCATCACGCGATCCAGAGAGGATGTAACAATTTCCTCCAATATAGGACTCGGAACGGGCGAGACAGGTTACAACATCCCAGTGTCCAAATACTACTTGTATCATTTTACCTGAAATACATAAAACTGATTGGTTTAAAACTATGCTTTTATTCTTTATAAGACAAATTAAATACAATATAAAGTATTTTAGAAATATTTTCTTTATTAAAAAAGGTTGCAAGAAGAACTGCAGAGAAGAGTACTGGGTTTTTTTCTTGATTTGTTGGAAACTTATTTAAAAGTGCAGTAGACCATACAGTCCATAAAAAAATATTTACAGTCCATAAATATCATACTTGATTCAAAGGCAAATTGTACCAGAAGGTTTTTTTAATTCTATACATTTCCATTCAGTTTACAGACAGGAAACATGATGAGATTCTCTCTTTAAAGTTCAAGGTAAGTTTACTGATGAAAGTGACAGTAAAAAGGCAAATCTGATGATGATGTGGGAAACTGAATCAGAAGAAGCTACAGAACATTTAGGACCCTGATGAAATTGGTATTGTGAGAGCTGCCTAGAAAATATAGCATTTGCAACTTCTGAGCATCTCCTTAAGCAGAGAAAAGGAGCTCTAGATGAAAAATTACTCTCATGCTCAGGTTTTTGCATCACCATTGATACACTTGCCAATTATTTCAACCAGCATCCTTCCCTTTCAAGAATTTCTGTAATGTTCAAAAAAGAGACCTGGAAAAGACACTCTTATCTATTGTATACAGGATGAACGCTTGGACCCTTGATAGAGACATAACTGTGAAAAAGAAAGGAAAGCCTACACAGTTAAAAATGTGCTGCTCAGGTGTCTGTATAAACAGGAATATGACTATTACCTTTTAACCCTAACTAAACAGGGTGATATTTTCAAAAAACTGTCAATTCGGATGCTCATGTAGAGTGGATTTGCACGTGGGAGAGGAAACACACGTAAGGTCACCCCCAGATCTCTGCCAGGCCACCCTGCCAGGGACTGGCTCCTACACAGCAACCGTGGCACATGCCCTGCCCTTAATCTGAGACTCAAATTAAGCACATCTTAATAAAATATTTTGGCACATGAATTGAACACAACTGGCGAATCACATAATACAACTAGTGTGATGCATTTCAGAGGTCTCTTTCTACACAGTGCAAAGGTATTGTATTCATACCCAGCCATTAAATAACACTAACTGTAGCAAAAGACTTAAGGGAGTGGTTCCGAGAAAAGACCAAAAATCATGTTAACAGCCTGATTTATAATAAAGATGAAAAAGGTAATTGGATTAAAGTGGAGAAACCTCCCCCCCAAAAAACCAAAAAAACCGACAAAAAAAACAAAACACCAAAACATGAAAAAAGTTTGAATATCTAAAAAAAAGGGGGAATTACTTTTGTATATGAAATAAAAATAGAATAATCATGTAATTTAGAGAAAACTTGTAAATCAGATTTAAAATAAAACACTGAGAAAACTTACTAGGCAAGTACAATCCTCCAAGAGAAATTGTGAAATCAAGTGCTGCCACATGAGCCTTTTCCAGCTGGAAGGGGCAGACCCTGGAAGGTACACGCACTGTGCACATCTACCTCCTATCAGAACACAGAGTAACTGTGGGATCGAGTCTCTCCCTGCCCTCTATGAGCCTGCCATAGCATTCTGCAGCAGCCACCTCTGCACACCAGGGCTTTCATCCGTGCCCCGGGGTCACCTCCCTGTCTCAGGTGCTGAGCAGGCAACAAGAGTTAGGCAGAACAAGTTCCTGAACCTCACAGCTAGGAGCAGTGAAACACCCACAGACTACATAACCTCATTTTGGCAAGGTACAAAAACATCGCACCGAGTGTATGTTTTTCCCTGAAAATTCAAGTTGTCAATTACATGGTTTAGATTTGAGAATAATTTAATCATGTGATACATTTTTCAGTCGTATAGCTGTAGGTATTCAGCTACCTGAGGTGATTTATCCTTTCAGAGCAGAAGTTTATGCTGTAAGCATTGCTGAGTTATAGAGATCTCTCTCTCAATTATATTCTATGTTTATAGGTTCTCATCTAGAAAACAAACCTTTTTCGAGGCTGCTTGTTTGACAGCTGTTCATGTAGTCGCATTGCCTTGTTAGTTTTAGCTTGTTACTGTGCGGCTAAGGCTCAACCAATTCCATCAAAACTATTAAAATAGGAAGTAAGCTTTTGCTCTTTCATATTAGTAAAAAAAAATTAATCTCCTAAGAGTTCCTCAACTTTTTTGTTTCCTTTAACACAAGTTGTCCTCTCTACGCAGTAATATCAGACATTGCCATACGCACTGATATAGCCCTTTCTGACAAAACAAATTTTCTAGTTAATGTTTTATTTGACAGCTGTGCTACGAATAATTAAAAAAAAAAAATACTCAAATCTCTGCACTACTGAATCTAAAAAGCTGTCTAGGAATCATTCCCACCACTGGAAGAAGGTTTTATTGTGCTTCTGCTGTACCAGCTGTGCCAAGAACCCATGATTTATGTTAAAAGTATTTCCTGTTAAAAAACCCCAAAGCACAAACCCAAAAATCTAACAGGAAAAAAGGTTCCCTTTCTGTAGAAGTGCTAAAATATAACTGACTCCAACATTTGTGATCACCTGCCATTAGGCATTACTGATCCCATCATCTCTTTCCCCTGCTGTTCTGCCAATTTCCAAATAAGTATTTCACTATTCTCATTTCGATTCGAAGCACAACAAACTCCATCTGAATTCACTCGATTTAAACTAGAGCTAGAGTTGTGCTATTGACCAAGGAGACACACGTAAGATACAAATCATCTGCAACTCTTTTGCCAACTGTATTTTGGTTTATATCATCATTACCTATGGTAGCAACAACATGCCTGGTGTATCTGATTTACACACAGACGATATAATTTAATGAGATATTTGTAGTTAAGACTGATACAGAACAACCCTGACAAAATCATACAGGTTCCTTCCATAGGTCTAAAGTAAAATAAAACCTTCAACATAAAAGAATTAGTTCTCTAATCATATAAACCAAGAGTATACACTGAATATTCATTACTTCTGGCTAACTTTTCTGAAGATCTCCTTTAAATTCACAGGTTTATGTAAATTTATTTTCATCAAGGAGAAAATTAAACGAAGAAGGGTCTTACAAGATGTCTGGATAATGAATTGTAGGCAGTCCATAAGTAAATGGAACTTCTCCTTTATACTTAAGGCTTTAAAATTGCAAAAATGACAGATGTGCTAAAATATGCCAGGGGATCTAGTCCTAGAAGATTTTCATTAACGACCATACTGTTTTGTTATATATTTTGGTTTGCCAAGTGTGAAAAACACTATTAACTAATATATTTAAGAAATGATGACAAACGTGGAATATTCCCTAGGGATTAATAACCTACTGGAAAGCTCGATGGCACACACACATTAACCACACCGGGTCATTAATCCCAAAGAAGTACCTTGCAGAGAGGTCGCTATTCCCATTACAAGATAATGAAAGGGAAAAAAACCTACCTATTTTTTTCTGGGCCTCCATGGCTTTTAAATTCTTGTAGCTCTTACACTGAAAGATTCTTTTCTATTTAGCATGACACATGCATGACTTCAACGCTTTGGATACATGCCAGCTGACAGACTAATTTAACTGCTGCCCATTATATCGATCAGTTTATGTTCTATGAAAGAGTTCCGTGTCTCCAAATCAATTTTTCTATTATAGCATAGCTTTCAAAGGCTTTCAGAAGTATTCTTTCACCAGATTTCAAGACATCACTACTGTACTTACTCTACAGTTCATGCCTGTATTTCCTCAAAAAAAATTATCTGGTGCTGAACACCAACCAGCGGTAAATTCAACTAAGCACCCTAAGAACAATTTATTTTCCTGGTATGCAGAACTTCACAAAAACTCACTAGACTCATTTACTCGTGGAAATCCCAGTGTAAGAAGAGGCAAGCCTGTCCTATAGATTTGAAGTCTTAACATTTGCCATCATTCCACAAAAATGACGGCTTACAATACACAGTAGCAGTAGGTAAGAAAAGATTTGACAAATATTATTAATAGGGGAATAAATACATACTCCACTGTCTCCCCCGACCCCTGCTTGCTTTCTTTATTTTAAACAGTAGGTTGACGATGAACAGAAAAATCTTTTAGGCTATTCCCATCTTTTAAAAATACATTACCTGAGTCAGTAGAATAAACTCGGAAACTCTTGTCCCAGAAGCCACAGACCAAGATGTAACGATTATCAGAGGTGATGACAAAACACTGGGAATGTACCTGAATGCTTTGGTCTAAAAGGTCAGTGATCTGCCTTCTGTGCATACCTGTATTGCTGGCTGAACAGAAAGACACACACATCAAGAAATTTTAGCATCCACATTCACAGAACAAAAGCACATTTTAGAAATTTACGTTCACACCAAAACTACTCCTTGCTGCTGTTACTTGTTTTTTTGGGGCAGGGACTTTTTCTTTCTACTTTTACAATAAAATACTCATTACTCTTCTGGGAACAATGCTACTTCCTTGTAGTATATATTCTAAAAGAGAAAAAAAATCCCTTCTTTAAGCCAAATGCAACTGACAAATACAAATGAAAGATTGCAAAAAAAATGAATTATACTTAAAAATGTAATAAGCTTTCTTCCCCCCTTCTTCTAGTACAGGAAATTCAAAATTAAGAAATAAATGAAGGGAATCAAATTCTAAAGCAGCATATACACATGTATGCTATATGGTGGCTCAAACGCAGCAGACAATGGAATTATGATTTCAAAATCACAAACAAGTTGTATTTCATTGCAAGCACTGTAATTTAAAAAAAAGAATAACTGCAGTAAACACTGCTACCATTTCACATTTTTTTGAGCATTGCACAAAAATCAACCAGCTTGTCTCTGCACTCTCCTTTAGGGTTGAGAGAAAATATTTATCCTATTTTGACCACCTGCTGTTTGATTTCCCCAGCTAACCTTGCATTGTGAACCCTCAGAATGGACAGGAATCAATTAACGAACAGCTTTTCATATTATATTAATTGATGCGTATGCATATATATATACATATGGGTCCCTATAGATATATAGAATGAAGACCCTACACTGTAGGAAGATCTTTTAATGTGCTTTGTTCCCGAGGGAATCTGACTCCCATCCCAGGAAAATAAATTCTCCTGGGCCTGGGTTTGGTTGCCGACTGCTAGGAGCACCATTGCTTCCTTTCTAGGAGGTCCCCCAGACCCGTCTCTGTCCTGGTCTCGTGCTCATCTCTACTCTTTGTTTTTTAATTTCTTTCCTTTCGCAGCAGCCAGCTATCCCCTAAGCTTTGGGCTTATTCCATTTACTCTGTATCAAATCCTTACTTCATTTATGTTTTTCCTATGTTTTAAATGTCAAAACTGTCTTGTCCATACGGGTAGCAAATAACTGAGCCAGGTATTGCCCCGCGCTCTGCAGGTAACACGTAACGGAGCCTTGAGCACTGGTGGGACCAGCGAAAGAGTAACAACAAGGTGTTAGAAATGCACAGGGAAGCGTTCTGTATGACAATGTAATGCCAACTAAATCCCTCAAAAAGATGCAGATCGACCATTCGGTGTGGATAAGACCTTCAAAAAACTTCATGTCAAAAAGAGGTCTCGGATCTGTGTGATCCCAGTCACTACTGGTTTACACCTTCCTCTGCAA